CTTCTCTTCATAATGTACGTTCATCCAAATAAGAATAACCCAGATACTTATGACATCTAACAATCAGTGTGATCACAGAAAAAGGACCTTTATCCCTTTGCATCGTTTAGGATTTCAGTGCATGTCTACAAAGGGCAACTGTCTTATTAAAATTGCAGTTTTCCTCTTGCAAGCAGACATTGGTCACCACCTTGCATTCAAAGTATTTTTCTACTTATTTAACAACGGCTTCTCTCTGTGGCTGTGAATATATGAATGTGATAACCTTTGGAAATTGTAAATAAGGGTAAATATATAGTCTTAGTGGAATTTTTGGCAGTCCAAAATAAGCTTAATTGCATGACATTAATAATTTTGTTCATTAGTATATTTCCTATACAAACTTTCTAGAAACTAAAGGAGATTTTAAGGTTTCCCTTCTTAAACGGTAGGGCTGTCTTATACAGGGAGATATTTTTGGCTCTAGAAATGTATTTAACACAAAGTCAGTTGTTTTGGTGAAACTTTAGTTCTAAGAGGCACTGCTTACAACACAGGATAGGAGGACTATCCTTAGGGAGGCAGAGCTTTCATTGACCCATAGAGAGATGATTTCTAACCATCTGCTCTGTATCTCACAAAGTATCAGTATGTTAAAAATATGTGAATTTTTCCTCCTCGGGGAGTCTCGCTGTGCAGCATACAAAGTGCAGATGAAAAAAGAATGGGAAGAAGTATCAGTGAAAGAAACCATTTTCTTTGCATTTAATAAGGAAGCATCTCTTGGGTGGTCAGTTTTTGTTTTTTTTTTACTTCCACATTAGTCCAGCATTTACAAGTAATTGGGCTGATTGATTTCAAAGGATCTACAAAAGTGACAGCCAAAAGGAAGGCGTACATCTGTAAGGGAAACACAAAAGAAAACGAAATTGGAAAAAGCAACATTTAATTGCCAATACAAATTGGTTAGTATAATGGACATCCTATTAAGCTGCTTTATGCCAATCAAAATCCCCCCCAATGTATTTTGGCAAATTAAAAAGTGGGATTTTTGCTCTATCAGTTTTCCTGATGGTAAAAAGGGTGAGATTTTTAAATTTCGACACCATTGAATAAAGAACCACCCAGGAGCTCATCAGTTTTAAAATGACCAAGGACAAATATATTCTCCTCTTAAAAGAAGTATGTTAAATATGATCTGAAATATTTCCAGAGATGTAGTTCCTTTATACTGAACTTTTCCAACCTGCTCTGTGTAATTTTTGTTGTTGTTAGTTTTGGTAAGGAGGCTTTTCTGCATGCATACATTCTATTTCGAGATTTAAAAAGACTTGGTGTTTAATAGACATGGGAGGATCACAAATTCTGTAGTCAGTAAGATCCATTAAGGAAAATTAATCTCCATGTTTCTAGGAAGATAGCAAACTGTTCTCTCCTCACCCTAAATTTTCTTCACACAACAGAACAGGTTTTTGGTGTCACTCTTGTTACCCTTGAAAATGATAAAACACTTGCCCCTTCATATATTCCCTAACCACTGGTGCCATTTACTTGGGCATTTATGGTGCTATTCAGAGGCTTCTGTCATGTGTTTCCATGCATTACTGCTGGCATTAGAAGTGTTCTGATTCCTTTTGACTGGCAGTTGACATCAAGGAGGAAAAAGGTATTTTATTAAGAAAGATAAAGGTATAAACCATAATGGAATGTAGCAGAGGAGAAAGGTATTTAAATTAATGATAGTACAGGCTCACAGCTTGTCTCTTGTCTGGTGTGTTATCACTTTCGCAGAAGTGCAATGTCTAATGACTGTGGAGGAATTGAGCTCTATTCCTTTTTAAGAAGCACATTTCCTACTAACAACTAACTTGTCTCCAATGTCAGTCCTAGTAGCTATGGATAATGCTAACTCAGCTCTGATATGGGTCTATTGCAGTAAAACAAACAATAATGCCTAGGGCCCAGACTTAGAAAACTACCATTGAATTCAATGACCCTTAATTTGGGTTTGTTCACAATGATTCCAATCTTAAATAATTGTGCTGGAATTGTTAATTGATTTAAAATGTAATTTCCTCCAGTCATTGCTGGCTGTACTATATAATTAGGCTCAGAGGACTACATTTCAATCAGTAAATGACAGTAAGTGTGGATTTCTCTCTCCACCCAAATTATTGCCAATCAGAATTTAAAGGGTGAAAAAAAAACACACATTTATGCCTCACTCTGATAAACACTTATGCATGGGAGTAATTTTGAGTCCCATTGAGACTGCTCATGTGCTTATCTTATAGTTACTTATCTGCATATGTGTTCCCACAAATCACAGCTTTGTTGTACTTTTAGACAGCCATGGCTCCCTTTAGCTATTAGTTCTGACATTCAATAAGAAATTAATATTATCGAATACATTATTTAAAATATTTCAGTATCTCTTGTGAATCTTAGCTTGTACATTTTAAAGGAATGAGCATTAGTATCTGGGTTTCTGAAATTTCCTAGTAATGTAAAAATTTACATTGATATAACTTGAATAAAATATTATGAATCCCACTGAAACTTTATTTAATATTCCTAGCACAGCTGTGATACCGAATTGTGCCCAAACCAGTATGTATGGTACATTGTCACAGCACTTCTGTATAAATGAGAAGTTCACTCTTGAGCTATATTTAAATTATATAGATAAGTTGACATGTTAGTTTACTGCTTTCTTGAAGGTTTTTTTTTTGTACTATAATTGCAATTTATTTTTTTAAAGATCAGCCTGTAAGTAGAACAGATGTTGCACTACATGAGGGTTATACTTTCAACCTACTGTATGGAAAGTTGCATGTAAATCTTCTTGTGCTGAAAGGTTGATTTTTAGAAATGCATTACCGTTGAAAGTAATAGTACATTGATATGTGTTGACACATGGATTTCTGTATACAAGTCCCCTTAAGAAAAGAAGATAACCTGTAAATGGCACAACTTTTTCTCTCACTTATGCTTCCTGTACTATTTTTTAGGAAGTGGCACGTATACTAAGAGCTTTGAACTTTTCCCCAAAGGATTTAATGAAAATTTCCTCCATGATCTCATAAGCCTACTTTTTTAATTATACAGTATTTTGGGTTTTTTTTACAAAGAGAAGACTTTTTAAAAAAGATTTGCTTGAACAGCTCAGCACTGTAGGCTGTTTTACTAAATATGATAAATGAAAAACATACAAAAAATGCTGGTTCTTTTAAAGAGCAAAGAACTGCACAGTAGATAATTTTAAATAATGTAAAATGTCTATTTACATAATAGCTGAAAATTCACTCATTTAAATGTGTAATCATCAATAGCTTCAGAGGCTGACCTTGAAAATGGAATATCTGGGTACAAAATAAATCAGCTACGTGTAACAAGCTGCTATTTCCTAGAGGGATAATATATAACTGTCCCTAAAACTGTGCAACAATAAGAATTTTCTTTAAAGCCCTGAGACTGCTTTAGCAAGCACGCTTGAGGCACATCTTGCCCTGATTAGACAATGCTATATATAGCTATTGTCTAGGATGTAAATTACATTGCTATGAAGTACATTGGGTTTTGTCTTCATAAGACTATTTTACCATTAACACACATAACTAAGAATGGGTATATAACCACCAATGGGCTCCTTGATAATTATAAGCCTTTAATCAGATGCTGTAGCAAAACAGATCTCCTGTAAGAGCCGGTCAGTTTCAGTCACTCAGAATAGCTATATATAAAAACAATGAAATATAATAATTAGAAATCATAGCAACATCTATTAGCTTTCACTGTGAACTGAACTGATGCACTGATCTAGCAATGGAACAAGGGAGCAGGAGCCCTAAATCTCCTCATAATTATACCAATTTTACACTGTTGTAATACCATTGACTTTAATAGAGTTATTTCTGGTCTTCAGTGGTGTAACTGAGAGAAGAATTAGACAGACTCTGCCCACTAATCTGCACTTGGGAAAGGCACTGCTGCAATTTGCACATCAGTAAAATGATGAGTATTTACTGCACAGAGGTGTTGTAGGTTTAATTAATGATGGCCTAGTCCTGCATTATTTCAGCCCAAAACTTCAGTAAGGCAAGATTTGTTGATTGAAGCCAGCAGGTGTTTATGGTGTGTAACACGTGCACTGTTGGTCCCTTACAGCCAGTGTTTTAAACTCAGTTTACAATTTTACAGTCACCGTCAGCAAAATTACTGTTAAAAAAATATCTGGTTTGCAAAAACAATGAAGTGGTTAAATACTAGCATTTGTTCTTGCAAACAATTAAGGGCCTTTTTTTAAAAAAAAAAAGTAGGCCTTTAGTGTTTTTAAAGCACTATAGAAACCTGGAGTATTAATATTAATAATATTTCTTCGAGTATTATTATTTTTAACATGAGATGTGGTTTTGAATTTAATGTCATCTGAGTAAACTCAGTATAAAAAAAAGTAGCTAAAACTATGAGAACAGGGTCTTTGTCTCTCACAGAAGACCTTTCCTGGAAAAAGCTTTTGATTTGGATGCACAATTTTTCAAAGCTCTTTGAGGACAAAATAAGGAAATCACATCATCACCGAGTCCTTTCCTGCAAAAAGACATATCTAACAATAACCAGCCATTTCATGCAGGCAGATATTATAGACATAAAGCTTGTTGGATTCCATACAATGACCAAGATGATCTCATGATGATATGCTTGAAACTAAAAATTAACAAAAAAAAACCCCATGAAACTTCTATCTTATTTTTATAGGGACGGATTATGTTATTTTACTTAGATCTGGATATACCTTAATCTCTTAATTTATTTCAGTAGGACTTCCCAGAGGGTGATGCATTGCTCAGTCTAAGTAAGGGCATCATAATTTGGCTGTTAAAGATCGTATTGAGCTTTCATCTCATAGTCATGTTATTTTGTGCATGTGCTTTAATTTCCTATTTAATGATCATACCATTTTGTCTCTTTATTTTCATTCGTCTGTTAATCATTCCATGTAAAAACATTTTCCTTTTCAGAAGAACAGCTGTGTGACATAGGAGAGTTTCTTTGCGATGATCATGTGACTTGTGTGTCTCAAAATTGGCTATGTGATGGAGAACCCGACTGTCCAGATGATTCAGATGAGTCTTTAGATACCTGTAAGTAAAAAGTACTGCATGTTATCCTTATTTTCCTTTGAAGAGTACAGATAGCTGTACTGTATAGTCATAAGAGTGGATTTTGGTTTAAAAAAACCCCATCCCACGTGAATCTTTGTACCATGGAGAATAGGTTACACTCAATATGCAGGTGTGAGATGAAAGAACTGGAAGGTGTTTTGCTCAACTGTCATTTTATAATGAACACTATCATCAGAGCATATGTTCCATATTCTCTTACTGATTTAGTAGAATAGCTATAGCAGGCAGAAGCAATGGCAGACAAAGGAAGGGAAATAATGTTTCTTCAAAAAAGGAAAAGAAATTAATAGTGCAACACAATGTCAGAGAGAGGAGCACTGAGATCTCAAAGGAGGGATCAAAGGAGGGAAAGGAAGATTCGAAGGCAAAACATGGAAAAGTGTAATAAGACAAAAGAGGCAAGGTATTTAAAAATGAGGGAAAGATTTAATAAAACATGCTTAATCTTAATAAAAACAAATCTTATTTTCTCTGTGACTGAGAGCGGCTGGAGAACAGAGCAGAACCCTTTCAGGCTTCTCAGATTTCTGGACTTGATGAGGTGATATTAAATCTTAATGTTCCCTTGTTTCCTACATTATGAGGAAAATGAGGGAACTTCCTGGTCTATGTCCCCATGATAATCAGCTCATGTAAGAAAGGATACTGATAAAATGAAATGTTCTTTTTAGTGCAACATAAGAAGCTAGAGATTTGCTTTACCTGCTAAAGGTACAGAAAGTACCATTTATCAAAACAAATCAGGGACTATAATCCTAGTTTTTAAAATCATCGACAGGGAATCTACACATGCTGGTTTGCTATCTGACACTGGATAAGCTACTTAACCTTCCTGTGGTACAGTTTACTCATCTGTAAAAAAGGTATAATAGTTAATTTCTGAGGTTGTTGTGAGGGTTCACTGAGTAATGGTTTGTAAAGCACTTTGACTCCTCAAGGGAAAAAAGCTGTGTATAAGTATGAAGTATTTTTTCATAATTAGCTGTGACGTGTTCCCTTCCCAATGCATCTTTTTTTCATTTAATGCTATGCTGGGTTCTTTGGCTGTATTTTAAACATAATTTTGTGCTCACAAAGGAACATCAGTTGCGAAAATGGGCTACAAAAATGACATGCAAAAAATAATTCTTTAGAATTTTCCAGTAAAAAGACCTCATGGTTTGGCAGTAAGAGATCAGTCTGGGTGACAGGCACCAGACATATTATGCGAGCAGTGTTGTCTCCTTCTCTCTATTTTATTCACCTGCTGAGGATATCTTCCCTATAGATTTGTTCCCAAATTGTGGTATTAGTATTAATGTGTCCTCGTTTGTCTGTTGAGCCTAGTTTGGCATTTTGAAATGGAATGCCTTGCTCCTTCATGCTGTCCATGCCAAACTCATTCTACTGCATATAAATGTGCATAAATCCCTACCTACTTCTGTTTCCTGACAGTAATTGGCATCAGGAGATAATCACTCAACTGGTAATAACCGCATACCATTTCTTCTCTTGGGCCGATTCCTCAGCTGATATAAATCGGCATAGCTTTACTGAAGTCAATGGGACTACACCAGTTTACACCGGTTGAGGATGAAACCCATTCTGTTTCATTAGCATCTTGAAGTGTGAAACAGAATTTTTCCTGCTACTTTGCCTGAACCTCCTCTGTACTTGATCATGAGTTTCTGCATAGCTGATGCACATAAAGAGAAACATCTTTAAAAAGGCCAGGTGAGCCATCTCCAGATTCTCAGTGCAACTATCATATTCCACAAAATATAACCTTATCTAAACATATAACATCACAGTTCACTTTTCTAAATAGAACTTATATTGTAGTGTTTGTTTAAGACATAATAAATCTACATACCAAATATTTATGAAGCATATGAGGACTCGAGGGACTGGTGATAAGGATACAGAGCATTTCACTTTGAGTGCACCAGATCACACATACTTCTGTTTGGTTGTGGCTGAAAGTTGTTACCATTTGGCAGATCTTTAGTGACTTATGCAAGATGAGTTGGTAGAACCAGACAGATACCACTAAAAATTGATCCCAACTAGTGCCCTCGTTAGCAAATTCAATACGGGGTCTAGGATTAAATAGGAATGGAGAACCAACTATGTACTCTCTCATTTAATGCTTAAACCAGCACCCGGTGACTTCATTTGGTGTCGGATCAGGATCAGTGTTTTCCTCAGAAATTGAAATTAGAGGAGATGTTCGAATTTAGAGAAGGGATTGGAAAATGACTAAATTGGCAACAGTGGGATTAAACTAGTTGACCTCTGGGACGGAAGGAGGAGGGAGTTCAGGAGGGGGGTCCTCCGTAACAATAGCAAAGGAATGTGACAGACCTGTCCTGTCATTGCCTAAGCTGTTCGCACTCTGTGGATATGGGACTTTCATCACCAAGCTGTCAGTTTGGTACTTTTCACTAGTGCTAAATGTACTCTCAAATAGTTTCAAAAAAGAAAAAGCAGATTCTTATAGCAAATCCACTTTTACCCTGTTGTGGTGTTTTAGCAATGATTATTTCTGTTCCCAGAAGAGTTGTTGCTCTGTGTAGTTAAAAAAAAAAGAAAGAAAAGAAAAAAAAAAGCTGGTCCAGTAATTCATAATGAATAATTTATTGAACACATTTTGCTTCTTATCTGTTAGTGAATTGTCCATGAGAGAATTGTATTTTTTTCTAATATATTCTTTCTTTGAAATTATTAACCAAATAATTTCTGCTACTATTTTTGAGCTGTTGAAGGCAATGGATTGATATCAATCTACCTCAGCTGGGGACCCAGCCCACTGCATGTTTCTCTTTTACTGATAGATGGACTTAGACTACATCAAGATTCTGGTGTGAATGCCCACAGAATTTTTGCAATATTTGCTTAAAATTCATTGTTTCCACAAACATTCTTGTCTATAAACTCTTTTGCTAGACTATTGGTAGGAAGTAAACGTGGTTGCAGAAAATGCATTTAAAAAAATCTGGTAAATACTCATTAAAGATTTTCTGCCACATTTGTCCTGCTCTACAAATGACCTTGACTAATAATGTCTAAATATGACAAAATCTATGCTGTCACTGTTTGAAGCATGTAGTAAGAATACAAAAACCCAGCAACGCTGAACATGTGTCCAGTTTTAGTATATTTGTCACCTGATAACTGGAAATATTTGTGTGTATTAGCCTCTGATAACTGTATATATTTGCCTCTCTGAGCAGTTGCTGCCTGATTTGAGATGGAAAATTCACTAACATTGAAATGCCAACTGCCTGTACAATGTTATTATTTCCAGACACAGATTTATTTCCAGTTTGTCCTGTTCGCTTGTTGGGTCTCTGCCTAAAATACTCCTCATACATAGAAGACATGAGTCCACCAACAACTACCAATGGCTTTCCAAACCAAATCCAGAGAATTAGATCATGTATCCTGTTTTGGGATATTATTTTTTGTCAGTGATAGTGTCAAAGATACAAAACGCTGACATCCAAATGACAAATGTCTTTACGATTTAGACACTTTTTGCGTTAGCAACTTCAGGATTTATTTCTGGCTTGCACGTCTCTCTTTCTCTCTCTCTCTTTCCTCATTCTCAGAGTCCTCTCTGCCAAAGAGCACCATGCTGAGGAGGGGGAAAAATGAAGTGGAATAGAACCTGATTTCTCTGTGAAACTGCAGGCATCAGGTTCGAAAACAAAACACCCTTCTCCCTTACAAAATTGTTCCGGCAGCTCAGCAGTAATTCCAGCATAGGGCACTGTTGTCCTCAGGACTCACAGCTGTCCTCTGGCCATGAGGTGGGGGCCTTCACTCCTAAAATGTGGTGTGCAAAGGGGGATTGACGTGTGGTGTAAGCATACACAGAAGTCTCTCAGCATGTGGCTGCAGACTTTGTTGCCTGTCAGAACTGGCCCTGACTCCAAGCATTGTTCTTACTTCATGAATATCTTATAGAGCCAAATACACGGTACAGTATCTATACTTATTTCTCTGACAGTGTGCAATAACTCTGCCAATTTTCAATCCATCGTGTTAGCAGTATACAAATTTGGGAGAACAATTTCATTTATCCCAGCAGAACACAAAGCAGAATCATAGTAGGCCTGAGACAGAGGAACTGTACAGACAGTCTTCCTACCTTTCACATTCTTTATAATTTGTTATGCCTTCTCTTCTACCCTAGCATTGTAGATCTTCATTAAATGACATCTGAATCACTTTCACTGGAAAACAACCAGCTCTATCCACTTTACTTGGGGTGGATAGGTCCTGGTGAGTGAGGATATTATAAGGACCCCAGACTATGTGGTAAATGGTCTGTAGTTCTGGCCCAAAGTACTACTTGATCTTTTTAAGATCCATTATCTCATGAAAAAACAGAGGCAGAAATACATCAACATGCCATTGCATGTAAACCCAATTCCATCTTTTCAATAATATGTAGCAATATTGGCTCTTGAGATATCATATTTTATTAAAATAACGTATTTTGCCTTTTCTCCATGCTTCAGTTCTGACTTAGTTTTGATGGCCCTATCACTAGAATTCTGAGTAGTTGAACCTATACTATATATCATCTAACAGTTGATTAAAACATTAATTTCTCTAGGATCTTGAAAGAGTATTAGCTTCTAAAATCCATCCTGAAATTGAAGTTTGGGAGCGGAGCACGAGTTAGCTAATTTTAAAGATTGAATCTCACCTAATTTATTAAATTAGTCTTTTCAATACATTTGTTGTTATTGGAGGTTCAATAGTGAGGTGTCTCAGCAGTGTCACAAAGCTTAAAGAAATGTTAATATTGTACCTAATTTGTGATGCTTTCTCCCAGCAAAAGCTAAGAAGCTATTTGAGCTTTTGCTGCTGCTGAGGTCCTAAACTATAAGGGTGAGAATTTCAAAAATCCTCAAAAAAACAACAACAACAAAAACAACAACAAGGAGTCCGGTGGCACCTTAAAGACT